CTTTGGGTCTCAGCAAAGTAAAACTCTGCACGGTTACAGCTGTGATCGTGCCAAGCACATCCAAAATAGTCGATAAACATCTAACAGCAATTCATTCAACCCTGGCAGCTGCACGTAGGTTTCAGTGCGTGAAAGAATGGCATATGATTTCAACCAAGGTTTCTCAACCTCAGCACTTGAGTTTGGGCTGGATTGCTCTTTGTTGTAGAGGGTTGTCTTACGTATTATAGGAAGTTCAGCAGCAGATCTGAGCTCAGCTATCTGAGTAATGAGGGTTAGAGAGGGAAGTGACCTGTGTTATAGCAATCAGAGATACCCTAGCAAGTACTGTCATGGAAACAGGTAAAAGCTACAGGTAAGAGAGAAGCTCAGCAGTGCTTTATTCTGTTCATCCTGAATCATCTCAGGGTAGGGACACACACACACACACACACACACACACACACGCTCATAGACACACACTTTATTATATATAATTCATACTAAAACAAGGGTGTCAGTTCTTTGGAGGAAGTTTTAAAGACAGTTGTATCTATTTATTTGTCACCAAGATCACCAATGGTTTCCAATCTGACTTGAGATAACTCATCAGGCAGCCCTTACAAAGCATATCCTATACCTCTCTCCAAGAGATTCTGAGCCTTCAGCTAGCCCCAGTCACTAATAATTTTTTTAAAGTGCCCCAAATGTTGATACAGTAAGAATCTGTGATATAGCCCCAATCCTTAAGACATTTATATGCTAAGGGGTAAGAGATGAAGTGTTTAGTGTTTAGCATGCTCAATTGTCCAGTTGGATGTTGGGTGTCATGAAGGAAAACATTATTCAGTGATACTTGTTAAAACAAAGTAACAGACTAGTAATTCAACAACATCATGGGCATAGGGAACACTGCAATGGGAATTTATTGTGGAAAAGACATTGGTCCTAACAGTAAATGCAGCAAAGACAAGTAGGAGTTTGCACCCAAGTAGCAGAGTAAGGGTCAGTGAATGGGAAATATATTATGAGGAAATCATTCAGAATAAACAAATTGGAGCTAAACTGAACTGGCAAGATTCTTTTTCACGACAAATCAGGGTGACTAGACCTCACCCGGTGGGCAGTGGAGGCTGAAGAACCCAACCAGATACCAAAGATGAGACATTCGTTACCTGGGACAATAGACAACAACTGAAATTTAGCAAGAAAAAAAAAGACGATAATTTTCACTTTAGTCATTCGTTATCTTATCCACCTGATTTAGTATAACCCTCTACTAAAACTGCAATTTACAAAGTAGTGCACAGAGTTAGTCAAGCAGAGAATCTGTGCCATTGTTATTAATGTTCTGGAAACAAGGCGAAAACAGAGTAGGTAAGATCAAGTTATCATTGGTTCTATGTTGATTAAACTAGAAAGGTTGCTAAATGGGGTAGAATGATGTTTTGGCTGATATTTTGTGAATTCCTTGCATATCATATTGCCCTTTTCACCACTGAACAGCGCTTTAACAGTCCTCTGTTGTAAATTTTCTCTCTATATAAAATCTCCCACAATCATACACATATTATACTGTTATTGATCTCCTAGAAAGGGTGGCATTGTGGCAAACTCCAGAGAGAACAGGGTACACAGTAGACAACTAAACTTGAGTCTGAAAGACCTTAGCAAGAAAAACACAACAGAAATCATTTTCACTTTAAATTGGTAACATGTTTTAATCCAGCTTGGACTGCTGTGACAGAATACCACAGACTGAGTAGTTTATCAAAAACAGAACTTAATTCCTTACAGTTCTAGAGGCTGGAAATCCAGGATCAAGCCACCAGCACTAGATCTGATCAGGCGCTCCTCGCTCCATTCTCCCATGGCAGAAGGTGAAAGGCCAAGAGAGGTCAAATGTATCCTCACACAGCAGAAGAGCGAAGAACAGCAAGCCTACTAGTACCACAGCAGTTTAAGGTAGCATTAATCTATTCAGAAGGACACTGTCCTTGTGCTCTAAACACCCCCATTAGGCCCCACCACCTGACACTATTGCATAGTGTCAGCACATGAACTCTGAGCAACATATTTTAATCACAGCACAATCACATGAGCACTCCCTGAGGACAGTGGAGAAAACTCCGGAAAAGGAAAACAAGAAGCTCCATTATCACTTTGTTATAATACAGCTGAAAGCCCTGTAGCAAGTAATTAGATAAATTAGGCTTTCAGTCAGCTCAGATTAAGGCCTTTCCAGAATGACATTTTATATATGCAGCAGTGTTCCTGGCCTCACTTGGAAATGTCAGAGGTGGGGCAAAGTAATTAGGTTAATACAGTGGGCATTTATTTGCTTTCACATCATACTGTCAAATATTAGCTCTTTATCCATACAAGGCAGCCAGAGTTAAACACCAAAGAATAAATAAGTAATCTTAATGACTTGCTAACTGAAGAAAATAAGAGAATTGAGGAAGAACTTTCTTCTACAAATTTTAACTTGAATTTAAAAGTACGAGAACTGAAAAAAAAGTTCTACCCAAATAAATACAATTAGTGAGTAAAAACAATGGAACAAAATTCTATCCTCTTCGTATACCAAAATATAATACTACGCCAAGGTCAGGAGGCTGTCTTAATGTCAGGAATGGAGGACTGTCCTTCATGTGCTATTTTTCTATGAAAAATGGAAACATCCCACATTATTATTTTATGGAGTCACAAACATATCAGGCTGTCCAAAGGGCCATGCTAGACCCAAACTGCACTGGGAGAAGAACTTGTTCTGTAATCTGTGTTAAGGTTTTCATGATGAAGGAGAAGGGTTTCCAGAAGGCTCCCTCCCATTTTCAAAAGGTCTTCACATAGCCCATGGCCCATCCTCGACGAATCAGCCATTCACGCACAAAGAGCTTCTACACTAGCTTGTCCTCAGAATCCAGAACACTGACTGTTTCAACTGCTCAGCTTCTTAAGAATTGCTGAGAAGTAACAAATTTTCTTATTTAAGTTCTTGTTTTTTCCTTTATCGAATGTGAAACAAACAGACTGCAGGAGATACAGAGATAAAATGAAGACAGTGGACTAGACTTAACATCTAGATAAATAAGTGTTCCACTTCACAATGGTAGAAAAACACTGAAGTAAGAATCAAGAGAACTGGAACTGGAGAGATGACTCCGTGGTTAAGAGCACTGGCTGCTTTTGCAGAGGACCTGGGTTTGAATCCCAACACCCACATGGCAGCTAACAACCATCTGTAACTCCAGTTCCAGGGGATCTGACACATTCTTCTGACCTCTACAGGCATTTCATAACACCGGTGCACTTATATACATGCAGGCATAACACTCATGCATGTAAAATAGAAAAACATAATAAATAAAATAATTTTTTTAAAGAGAATCAGGAGACCTAGAGGATGATTGATGCTACCTATGGTCAAAATATGGATGAATCACAGTCAGGGACTGAAGTCTTATGTGTCAGTCTCTCTACTATACTCTTTGCATGAACTAGTATTTTACTTAATCCACATTACTCAGATTATCAATATTGTCCTCATTAAACAGATGAGAACACAAGCTTAAACTTATATGAAGTTGCACAACAGAACCCCAGCTTGACTAAAAAGAAAGGCATAATTTCCCACTGAAAAACATGCTTATTTAGTAACTGCTTATGCAAGGATCTCTGCTGAGCTCTGGAGTATTTTTTATGCTGATTATATTTTATTTATTTTTAAAGTAATTTTAATTTTTATTGAATTTTTGTGATTTTCACACAATATAGTTTGATGATATTTAGATCCCCTCCCCCCACTGCCTCCCACCCAATTTAATGTAATCATATATATGATTTGTGAAGGACATTATGTCCAAATGTCCTTCAATGTGGTTCCATCCATTGGGCCCACCAAGAGTCCCATCCATGTAAGACACTGTCTTTCCTCCTCACACCAGTCATCAATGGCAAAAGTTCTTTAGGTTGGGATTTCTTAGTCACTTCCCCATGTGGGTTTTGTCTGGTTTGAGCTTATAGGATTATGTAGGCACTCTCCATTCCTGCGAGTTTCATATGAGTAACTGACCAGCTATCTGGAAGACTCTCTTTCCTTGTGTTCTGGCTCTTACAGTCTTTTTGCCTCATCTTCTGCAATGATCCATGATTCTTGGGAGGCAGAGCTTTGAAATAGGTGTCCTATTCATGGATAAGCACTCTGTGGCCTCCTGTTCTCTACACACTGGCTAATTGTGGGTTTCAGTGTTAATCACCATCAGTTTTAGGTCAGAGTAGTTCAACAGACTCCCAGAAAAACACAGGCCATTGTCACAGCCCTTGATTCCCTCCCAGAACTTGAAGGTAAGACCCTATTGCTGCAGACAGGACATGCTTCAAACACAGACCTTAGAGCAATGGAGCTGGAACTGACCTGGAAGCCTCCTCCCTGTAGACTAAGTCTCATAGATGGTATCAGAGGATACTATACAAGCTGCTAAGGGAGAAAACCAGTCACTGGTCCTACCCAGTTGTAAAGCCTAAGAAACAGCAACTGGTCCAGTAAACCATCACTATTGGTGCAGTAGTGGCACTTTTAGGGGATAATCAACAACTGTCTAATTGAAATTAAGGCCTGTTCAATGGGAGGGAACTCATATGTGGTACTATCACCGTAGCCAAATACACATGGCTAGAGAGGCCATAGGTCCTAGAGAAAGACCTACTTTTGCCACATCCCTAAAACAAAGTAATTTCTTACCTTATTCAAAATATGCATCCTCATTTTTATAGACAAGTACACCTTTCAATCCTATCAAAGAAGCTTCTTTTTACAATAGATGAAGACTATTACAGAGCTCCAGAACTGGTCAAACACAGAGAATAAGTGTTTGTGAGACAACCCTAAGTTTAGAACTGAATAAGCCACCCTGGCCCAGCTCTATAATCTGTGCTCACCTGCTTTCTCTTCCATATATTTACATGACTATACTTTACTTTTGATGACCTCCTCACATTCTCATGTCTGCCTGCAGGTGGTGGGCAGGGGAGTGGGAAGCATGTTCAACAACATGTGGACCCTATGGAGAAAAGAAGCGAACAGTACTGTGCATCCAGACAATGGGCTCTGATGAGCAGGCTCTCCCTGCTACAGACTGCCAGCATCTGCTGAAGCCCAAGGCCTTTGCTTCCTGTAACAGAGAGATTCTGTGTCCATCAGACTGGACAGTAGGCAATTGGAGTGAGGTAAGTTCAGGAACTGAAGGGAAACTGGTATTATTCCTGCTTCATCAGCCCTTTACCCATTCTTCCAAAGTGAACCAACATAAAAATTGCCTAAGACAGAGCCAGCATTCATCATCTCTGACCTCTTTCCTTCATTTCCCATTTTTCAGCTTTACAGGTCTTGCTTTCACTTGCCCTGTTTTCAACTGTTTTCTAGGGATCAGGTGGATCTCACTAATACAAGCTCATGACAGGCGTTGATTCATTGCTGAAAGTTTGCTGGTCCATTGTTAAGCCACTGATAGCAAAGTGTGTCTCCCTCCACAGCCCCAAAGCCAGTTTGTAAAAAGTTACTGGTTCGTTATGGTAGTTAATTAATTCTATAAATATAATTAGACTTGAAGTTCACGAAAAACCCTAGGCTATAATTTCCATGTCACTATGGTACATGTTTCATCAGACTTTATTGAGATTTCAGAGTGAGCAAGTGAAATAAATTTCTTTCTTTCTTTCTTCCTTTCTTTCTCCCTTCCTTCTTTTCCTTCCTTCCTTCCTTCTTTCCTTCCTTCCTTCCTTCCTTCCTTCCTTCCTTCCTTCAAGATGATCCATGCCTCCAAGAGCTTCACCTCTGCTTTCCTGTGTGCATTTCAGTTATGATACAAACGATGTCTACAAAATAAGTTACCTTTAGAAATGAACATGTCAGAGTTTTGAGGAGGATGCTGACTTCATCTTATATGGTTTTTAATTTTTTAAATTTTATTTATTGATTTATTAGAGGGGGATTGTGCCTGTACCACACTATGTGTGTGGAGATCAGAAGACAACTTTTGGGAGTTGGTACTCTCCCTCCACCATGTGGATTCTGGGGATCAAATTCAGGTCATCAGGCTTGGTGGCAAGTACCTTTACCTGCTAAACCACCTCACTGGCCCCTATGCACTTTCTTGAGAAGCCATAAGATTCCTATAACAATGGCCAGAAATTTTCAGGAGTGCTTTCTGAGGCCTTGTCTTTAGGGAAATAGAAAATATTTGGTTCAGGAGAATACCACAGAAAGTCAGTTAGAACTAGCGTTGATGAGTAAGTAAGCAATATACTCAGTTGAGACAAACCTTTTGTGTTTAAAAGGTAATGTTTATTTCAAAACTTATTTTTATGTATAGCTTATAAAATTTCTCTGAAAGTATTATCTAAATAAGTCTAAAATCAACAAAAGTACCATCTGAGAGTACTTGAAAGCAGAGTACTCATGTGAATATAGAAGCTTTCATAACATTTCCAAGATTTTTTTTTAGGTTATAATCATAGTCAGGTTCGTTTAGCTTCTAATTCTGTGCAGGATGCTCTGGTAAGTATGCAAATGAAAATAAAGAAATGAAGCATGATTCCTAGATTGAAAAACCTCCTACCAAAAATGGGAGACATAGGATGAAAAACGGAGAGGCAATGGGGGACAGGTAGTGGATTAATGCAAAGAGGTGTAAATGCAAAGATAATAATACATCTGCCAATTAATGCAGGTACAATACAGATTTGTGTACTGGTGTATGTGCACACATCAGTGACAAGCCAGAACACCTTCTCTGCTCTTCTTGGGAAAGAGAAATCATAGCATGTAGTTGGCCTGACCTATTAGTTCATCACCAACCTAGATTGCTATAAATTACAGTGTTGTCAAAATAAGGCTGAATGGGGTGTTGTGACTGATCCATTAAATCTGTTTACCAAAAATGTGTTGGCTGCATTGAAAACAGTTAATAATTCTTGTCAAGTAGAATTTACTAATTGCCAGAATCTCAATGCTTTCTGAAAAGACTATAATTACAGATTTAGCTGAAGAGTTGTTCTTCCTGTGTTCATACATATGCAGAGCATATAATAACCTGCCCTAGCTGGAAAGCAGGGGAGCAAGTTGGCAGGAGGCAGCAAGTACTAGTATCTGTGATTCCAACAGCAAGCCATTGTAGTTGATTGACAGTGCATGTGGCATCCAGTGTCTAGCTTCCTCTTGCAGAGCTGAGCAGAAAGGCCATGCCAATGCCTTCATTAGGAGATGGTTTTAGAAATGCCTTTATTTGAATCAGCCTCAGAAGATTCATTGAATAGATCTCCGTTTCTTCTTTCTGCTCTCTTGTCAATAGCCCACCAGTGAGTTTTGCTGAAATATGATAAAATAATGTCTTTGACAGTATAACTATGCTCAGATATTTTTGTAAGAGAGATAATATCATGATTCTTGGTATACAGTATTTGTTATCAAAATCTTGACTTGATGCCAACATTATTTGAAGCAGAGAAGAGCTCTTGCATCTGGTCTGCATTGAGCTAAGTATTTGCTTGAGCATAAAATAACTGGGCCAAGAGAAGATGAAACTGATAGTCTCCTAGAGTCCTATAGAATAGTCCTCCTTGGAGCATCCAAGATAGAAAGAATAAAAGTAAAATTCATAAGCTATCCTTCCTTCCTTATCAAGGTCTTTTCATCAACCTGATATGAAGAAAAGATTTTTTAAATCAATCTCTGGGTGAGAGAGGAGCAGAGCTCTATGTTGGTTGGCACTAGTCTTACTAAACCACTTCCCCATGTCTTTGGTGTATACACTGCCTAAGTGGGCAGTTCCCCGTGTGCTTATTTGGCCTGGTTCTCCCATTGGTTGATAGCTGCTATTTGATTTGATATAAATGTGCATAGATCAAACACGGGACTTCCCTAAGCCACATATGAGTATCTGTGTATACAGCCTCTCTTTTTTTTAAAAAAAAATATTTTATTTGTTAGTTTAATTTTATGTGTATGAGTGTATTGCCTGCATGTATGTGAGTGCGCCCATGTCGTGCAATGCCGTGAAGGTCAGAAGAGGGCTTCAGATTGCCCTGGGACTGGAGTTAAGGACAGTTTGTAGCTGCCATGTGGGTGGTGGGAATTGAACCCAGGTGCTCTTAACTGCTGAGCCAGCTCTCTAGCCCCACAGCCTCTCTTTTCAGAAGAATTTAAGGCTATTTACAATAGAAGGCTAGAAATAAGAGTGGTGAAATAAAAGTCATGGTCATGACTAGGAATAGACCAAGATCTAAAATGAGACCAGTAAGTTTACTGTGGTTCTGTTTTCATTTTAACCCAGGGCATCTAGGCAACTAAAGCAACAGAGTAGGTTCTGTACTAGGTGATAGACAAAAACACACTTTTTTCCTAAGAAGCATCCCTGTAATAATAAATTTCCAAAATTATACAATTATACAATTATACAAGGGGCTTGTTTATCTGTTTTGCAGTACAGGAGATTGAATCAAGGGTCTTGCATATGCTAGGCAAGTACTCTACCATGAAGCTCACATTCCAGCACTTTGAAACAGGTTCTTGCTAAATTATCCAGGCTTGCCTCTGACTTTTGATCTTCTTGCCTCATTCTCTCAAGTATCTGGGAATACAGGTGCACACAACCACACTCAACTTATATGAGGATTTTAGTCATAGATCCAAAGATATAATTAGAAAATGGTCCATTCATAGGCTTTATAGAAAGATGTGGCACCTTTTTACATAGATGGATGGACAGATGACTCCTGAAAGCACTATGTAGTTAATAAATGTGACTGGCTTCATGTATCAGGGGCAAGAAGTGAAGTGGAAGAGACTCCAAAGAACTCTCCAGGCTCTCTGCATAAATTCTCTGTGCAATCTTAGGCCAATTATTTCACTTCGTACAGCTTCAGTTTCACCAACTATAAATCAGTGTTTTTGTCCTGTCAGATAGACTTTGTAGGATGGTGATTTTTTTTCCAGGCTTTCTAGCCCTAGCAATCTCAAACTACATGAACTTCAGCTAGTATTAACCATCTCTCACCCTTTTCTCATCTCTAATGATAGCATTGTTTAAGGACTGAATATGTAACCACTTACCATATTACCTGGAAAATGCTGTATGTCACTAAATGACGGCTTTATTAGCAAGCAAAAAGACAAAAGCTGACTTTCTATGTTACTCTTATTTTTTTAATTTTTGTCCATCAGTGGCATCCAGTGTCCTAAATCAGGGCCACTTTTATGCACAAAGCACTAATAGCACCTGCCATTTTTTAAATCCCTACAGAAATGTTTGAGACTTCAAACCACTGAAACAAAAGAAAACCAAAATCTTTTTCTGTTGCTTCCAAACAACTCAAAAGAATACTGAAAATCAGCAATATTTAATTTCATATTAGTAACAAACATTAACTGTACATTCAATATGTACATTAAGTAGCTGTATACATATTTATATACTTAATATTTCCAAAAAACTTATTAGTTCCATTTCATAGGTGAAGAAAGTGAAGCATAGAGATGCCTAGAAACATTTTCAAGGTCATACAGCTGCTAAGTGATGGAGGGTTTGAATGGAAGCAGCCAAGATTCTACTCTGAACCCTGTGTCGTGCTGCATGCCTTCAAATATAGCAGTATGACTGTTCCTAGAATTCATAAGAAACATATTCTGTTTGGAAACAATTTGAAAATCATCCTTTCTCACTTTGCTAGAATCTAAAATATGCTTAATGTTTGCTGAGATTTCAGAGCCTCTCAAAAATGGAATGTGTTAGTCTCACCAAGTAATTGTAAAATCAAAAGGAAAAAAATTCATATGGTTTCTATAACAAAGTACTATCTGTCTCTCACTTAAGATTGGAAATGTGTTTGAATACTAGAAGTAAGCCTCAAACATGTCTCCTGCCCCTACAAGTACTTCCTTCAGTATTAGGAACCATGGACTTTACATATGTCTTTCTTTGCTTCTTATTTCAGCACAGATAGGGCATTGGCTTTTGTTTCCATGCCTTCTTTTTGAAGAGCCAGTGAGAGATTACTTATGATCTGTTCAATTACTATACATTATTTATGGCTTGGACTTAAAGAATTTCCTTAGAAGATTCATATTTGAAAGCTTGGTCCCAAGCTAGTGAATCTACTCAATGGAAGGTGGTTGGATTGTGGGGAATTAGACCTAATTAATGAATAAATCTCCTAATGGCTTCTTGGTA